GGAGTTAATTACATCAAATACACTTGTCTGTCCCTTACTGATTACACAAATTAACACCTCCGCAGTCAAAGGAAAAACACAGCATGCAAATGATTCTCTGCCTTTATTTTTTTTTTTTTTTTTTTAGGTCCTTCTGTAACAAAAACTCAGACCACAAGCTTTGGCAAGGTGGCTTAAACAAATAACACTACAGGTCTGTAAAATGGTTTCAGCACTTCACCAGTGAGGTATGAGGATAATGACACGTAAGCTCAAGTCAAATATTTAACCTGTTAGCCAGTTACAGAAGACAGACAGCCAGGACAGCTCACCGGAGTGTTAGCTGAATTTACAGAGAGGGCACAGCCAGCCACGCTGATTTTCCTTTTGAAGATCTTAATTCCAAATTTCCCAGCTGGCAGAGCCAAGGGGTGGCTGAGCCGCCTGGTTCGGATTCGAGTGATTTAAACTCATCAGCTCTTTCACAAGAAATGGTGCAATCAGCAGAGAGAACTAGGATTGACTCCTTGTGCTCCTGACCTGCAACACCGAACAGCCAGGGAAAACACTAAAAAAAAAACCCACAAAAAACACCTTTTTTTTTTTTTTTCTGTGTCACTACAGAAAAGGCCATGCAAGCAATCTGCTCAGACTGGACGAAGGACAAGCTGGCAGAGATGGCTGCACAGCCTCGGGCCTCTTTGGAAAGCCTGGCTGTGTTTGCTCTGAGTGTTACCCACTGATTTGAAGCCTTCCCACCAGCCTTCCTGGTCCTGGTACCACAGGGTGGTACCTATGGTAGCAAACAGCCTTTTAGAGAGAAAAAAAAAAAGCACAGAAGGAGAAAAAAATTACTTTGTTATCTCTCTGTCCCCAATCAGGTCACAGTGATTTTTTTTATTCTCTTGAGAAGACATCATGCAGTTGCACCTTTTTATCTTAATATGCCCAGCAAGTGGCTCAGCTCAGTTTAATGACACCCACTGGTGTCTCTGCAATCAAAAGGCTGTCACTATTTCCACTACAAATGCACCTATTCAGAAATTTAACCTGGCTCCAACAGGTCTTCCAGGAAGAAATCTGGCCAAAACAAAAGGTGAAGAAGGAGGTAATTGGGATTTTTCTACGGACAAGGAACCTGAACCTACAGCTTTCCTGCACTGCAAAGTCCTTGGGAAATCTGCTCCATGGTCTGAGATGAATTTTTCTGGTAAACGCTGGAGAAATCAAAGAGAACCTTTCAGCCTCAAGCGAGGGGCAAGAGGAACAGCAATGAATTGCTTTAATATGAAATGTCACATTTAAAATTGATCCTAACAAAACCAAATACTGGAGGCTGGTAGATACTCCCTTAGAGAAACAGTGTGGGATGTGGTGGGAGTACCACTCAAAATCAGCATGCAGAATCAGGCCTCAAGTACATAAAATATGGAATTTGGCGCTTGCATTTTAAAATATTTATAAATAACTTAAGACATTCGGGCTCAGAGGTGTCCACAGCCGAGTATTTCCCTCTGGCACGGGGAACCACAGGGATCCACATCCCTACGGATCCCCAGTGCAGGAGTTTGGTTCATGCTCAACGTAGGAACAAAACCTGCCCATGTGAGGCTGTTTGGAAAGTCTCCCTTGGCCCTTTGAGAGCACGTGGAGGACACATCTAACCCAGCAGAACACATTTAGAGGGTGCAGATCTACAGCACAGAATGGGACTGGTTCTTCCTATACATTCACAGCATTTGGCAAAACAGCTCCTGGGGGACTCCTCGGCTGTTCCTGCCCCACGAGGTGAGCCCAGCTAAGCCTGACCCTGGGGGATGGCAGATCAGCTCTGCTCTGATGGTGAAGCTGATCTGCCTGGGCTCAGGGCTGGGGTGAAGCCACCCAGGAGAGGACGGACACCTTGAGCCCTGTCCTGGAGCAACAACAGGCTTGCCTTGGAGTGCTCTGCTCTGCAGCCTCCCATCAGGACTGACACAGCCCCTGGATCCGCTGCAGACATCCAGCCAGAATAGGAAGCCTGGAATTCACCTCACAACCCTTTGTGCACCTGGCTGGCACCCGCCGAGCAGGCTGCAAAACAAAGGCACGGGAGGGGGGTTAAGGTCAGAGGTACATTCGTTGGGATGATCCCTGTCAGGCAGTTCAGAGGACAGGTGTGGCACAGCAGCCCAGAGATGGATAGACAGAGGACAGCAGAGCAGGGAGGGACCTGCTCCTGCACAGAGAAGCAGCTCCCCCTCAGCAGGGCATGAAACCACAGCAGCCTTGGAGACAGGTCGGGTAACCTCCTTTGGCCACGTGGATTTTTGTCCACCAGACACAAACTGGGACAAACTGGTCCCATAGACCACATCCTACTGGAGATGTTGAGCTGGATGGCTCTGCAAGCCACCAGCTACGCCCTGAGCAAAAAGTGAAACTCTAAATTTCTTTTATGTCGTGGGTTCCATCCAGACCCACTATGTACTTGGTTTCAGCATATTTTTTTTCCCGTTAAAACACCTTAAAAAAAAAAAAAAAAAAAAAAAAAAAGTAAAATGTTCTTTGGCACTTGTGCAACACAGACGTGACACTTTCCTGTCCTTGGCTGCTTGCTGGGCTCATCTCTAGAGATCCACGTACGCAGAGTCTGTGTCCATCCTCTGGGCCTCTCCAAACAGGAGGAACACACAGAGTCCAATGCTGTTAACAGCAGCCACCAGGTTGAAAACAGAAATCCAGGAGCCAGTCGTTTCAATCAGGTAACCAGCCAGGTACACACAAATGACACCTGTGACAGGAGAGAAGAGAAAGACATGCAAAGGCTCTGGGGCTGGATCCTGCCCTCTGCAGGGAGAGGGGCTCTTTGGGAAAGGCTGAGCTGCAGGAAGGTACTTTACCTAGGAGTGCTCCACCTGTGTTTGCAACCCCTGTAAGGAAAGGAAAGGAAAGAAGTGGTGTGTTCAAAACCCATGAACGTGAGCAGTTTCATCCCAGCTCCCACCAGTCTGCACATCTGGCAAAATGCCTTGTTGATTTTAGAATCACAGGATGGTTTGGGTTGGGAGGGACCTTAAAGCTCATCTCATCCCAAATCCCTGCCATGGGCAGGGACACCTTCCACTAGACCAGGTTGCTCCAAGCCCTGCCCAACGTGGTCTTGGACACTTCCAGGGATGGGGCAGCCACAGCTTCTCTGGGCAACTGACAGAGACCACTGACATGCAGCATCATCCCAACCCTGGGTGCAGGTTGAAAGGCACGTTGGTGCCATTTTACCTGCCCCCAGCACTGGCAGGTTTATTGCAGAAGGAAGCTGAAGCTGCACACATGGGGTAGACATTGCCCAGAGCCACTCTTGTTTAAACCTCGACCATGTTCCACCCATAGATGCCACCTCTCCAGCATGGAAAGCCCACAGAATCCTTACCAAACAGCAAGCCAGCACACGAGGGGGCCAGGTCCTGCACATTTACTGAAATGCCACTGGTGAGAAACAGAGAGGGGTTAAAAAAATGGCTGTTTGAATGGAACACGCCTATTTCTTCATCATTTACGCAAAGAAACACAAGGAAAGGTCCTGGACAAGAAATGGCACAAGGAGTAGAAGCCGAGATTGAAGCAGTACAGGTGAGTATAAGAAGGAAAACAATTCAACTCCAAGTTTTCAGAAGGGCCAAAAGCCTTCATCTTTCTAATACTGGCTGGTTTGAGCCCTTTCCCACATTAGAGGTTTGCTGGATCATTTCCACCCCAGCAGGCACTAAAATCCACCAGCTTCACACACGATGCTCAGGCAAGTGGCAGTTCTTGCTTTGAGATCCCAAAATGCCAAGTGTGGGATGAGAGCAAAGGGCCACAGCTACTGTCCCTATCACTCTCCTTACCTGTGGTTGAAGGTCTGGAGTCCAACAGAGGCAGAGGCAAACACTATTGCTTTGCAAAAACTGGAGGTCTGGCCCAGACACAGAGCAAAAATGCTTGAGACGCCAGAGCCAATGACCTGGAAAAAAAGGCAGAATTAAACACCACAGCACATTTTCTGTAAGGAAGAAAGCAAATCCTGTCACGAACAAACTGTTCAAAAGCTCATGTGCACCAGGTGCTTCTCCAGCCTTTTTTTCCCCCCAGTGTCCTGCCCTTCTGTGTCTGTCCAGACGGATGTGATGCTGCAGAGCAAAGGATACACTGTGTTCTCACCCAGCATTACTATTTTTGTTCACCCTTGTCTTGCTACTTTCTTGGTATCTAAGGAGTCATTCATGTGACAACTGGGACAGGTTGGCCTTTGCCTGCAAAAGAAAACCCCTTCAGAGCACTCACTGTGCTCAATATTACCACTGGTTCATTGTTAACAGAGGTTCATGCTCTGTTCCTCAGCCAGGGTTTTCCTCTGGATTTCCTTTCCCACTCACAATGATCACCAATCAATCTCCAAAGCCAGAAAACCTTCCCTCTTTCCACCTATGACCCCCAGCCCAGCTCCATACGAGCAGATGTAAGCAGAGCTGAGAAGGTAACTCAGGTGTCTCTCCTGTGGCTTCAGCTCCCTTACCTGCATGAACTTACGAATGGTGATGGTTCTGTACCCTGAAAGACAAAGGGAGAGTTGGAATTAAGCACAGCTCACCAGGTCCTCCTTGTTCTCCAGCCAGGAGACCATAGGGTAAGTAGATTTCAGACGCCCAGATTTCATCTCCACATGACTGAGATCAAAGGGAGCCCCAAACACATGGATGGGATTTTGACACTGGAAATTTTATTCTGCTGTTGTACCAGAACCTCACATTCCCTATTTGCTGGGTCTTCTCCATACCAACAGGCCCATCTCCCACCCACATCCTCTCTCCAAACCCCATAAAATAAGAGCTCATGAAAAGTCAGAAGGGCTCTTACCTTGACTGATTAAATGATCAGACAGAAATCCACTGAACAAGCTTGCTGGAATTGCAACCAGCCAGGGGACTACATTAAAAACCCAACCCTGAAATGGAGCAAAAATCGAGAGGTTTGTCAGAGCTGAGTTTGTTTGCAAATATTTTGTTTGATAGTCCATAGTACCTGTAGAAAGGGTGGGAAATAAAGCACTTGGGGCTTGTTGCAGCATCTGCACCCCATTTGCAGAGCCAAATCTGCACCATGCCCCTCTCCAAGGTCTACAAGGGGGCAGGTGCATCACAGGGCAGTAGCATTTGTAGGTTTGTTGTCTTTCCTTCTGCCCCGGTGACTCTTCATCCAGGGGAGAGGCAGAAAGCTCTTAGAAAGAGGGATGAAATGTGGCAAAGTTTACTGCTCAGCACGACGATGTGGCAGAGAGCCAGAGAGCCTGGGAAGCTCGCTGTGGGTTTCCTGTGGGCCACCAGAAAAACAGAATTTCCAACAGCTCCAACCTCATTAGCAGCGTTACTGTGAGGCTGAGGGAGTGTAGCTGGATTTTCTAATGGCAGGATTAGGTAACATTATGGGTAGTAACATACTTTGGCCTATTTTCAATTAAGTGAGCTTGCTCCAGCTGTAATCACAGCCGATTACTGGTCAGCTGGATTACAGCTGCTCAGGGGCACTTCGGTGCCCAGATCCCACAAGGAGCTGAAATCACTGTGGGTTGGGCTGGGCTTCACCTCAGCTCCTTTGAACCTACTCATCCATGCATCCATCCATCATCCCCTGTATGTCCCCCTTTGCTCAGAGTCCATCTCCCCTTCCTGCCTGGCTTTGGAATGTGTGGGAGGGCTGAATAATCTTGGGTTTGAATAATATTGTTTCAGCTGCTCCTGCAAGTCATACCAGGGTCCATTTGCATCTTTCCATGCCTTCAAAATTTGGGTCTTGGTCGCTTTTGAGAATGTTACCCCATGGGGTGTGTGGGGATGTCAACTGACACCAACTGGGGTTGCTCAACATGAGTTGAGCACCTTGTGCACTCAGTGCACCTTGTCCCACCCCTCAGCCCATCACCCTGATCCAAACCCTCCATCACCTCCACCCAGGTGGGCTGGAGGCAGCTGCCCAGACAGAGATGAGGCAGCTCACCTGCAGAAAGGGACTTTGGCCAGCAGGTGACACAGGTTTCCCACATTAGGGATTATTGTCCATCCTTAAAGACCAGGCATCCTCAAACCGCGTTTTAAATCACACAAAGTGATTATCAGCTGCAGACACACTATATAGAGCATCTTACATAAGGGTACCATGATATAATGCTTAACAGATGGTAAATTACTGCTGCACAAGCACATTACTCGAGGTGCACAGATCTTGTCACAACAATATGTTTGCCGGTTTAATACACGATTTTAATATAAATATCAAGTATGCCATAAAGAGCTTTACATGCGTAATATGAAAAGGCATTTGTAAGCAGCTCTGGAAATTGTAAAAACCTAACAGAGCCATTGTGGAAAAGAGTCTGTGAGTTCCTGAGAACAAGATGAAAATACCAGCTCTCGGATCAGATAAAGAATTGCCTGGCTTTCTGAAAAATGGGAACATCATTTGTGCTAAGGAGAGAGAAGCTTTTGTAGTATTTTCAAAGCACACAGTATTAATGGTAATGTTAATTTTAGCAGGCAGGTCTGAGCTGTACAATGTCAGTCCAGTTAAAGACCCTGTGAAAAATCAGGAGTGAATGGCGGTTATTTGCAACAGCAGAATGTCATGAGCTCTGTGCCATTTGAAAACCGTAGTTTTCTCAGGAGAAAAGCAGTCTAAAACCCAAATATAACCTGCACTTCCCTGCCTGGAAAGTGCCCCAGCTCTGCCTCCCCTCAGCATCCCTAAACAAACAACTAGAAACCATCATCTTCCTCCCTAACCACCCTGCTTTGGCAGGTACCCAGCACGACCCCCTTGGAACAGAGAGCAGCAATGCCTGTGCCTCGGAGCCAACCAACCTTTGACTCGGGAAAAGTTTCCTTAAAGAAAGTTGGCAGCCAGGAGAGGAGAGTGAAGAACGTGCTGGCTGTGGAGAGCTGAGCGATGATGACAGCCCTGAAAACACACAGTGGAGAGGAAACAATCAGGAGTGACAGGTCACACGGGGTGGGAAATGGGTGCTCGAGCAACCCAGTATTTCAGTTCCTGGTTTATAAACAAATCTCTCACAGCACTGCAATGGCTTCCTGAGATTTTTCTCACAGATATCAACTCCTTTTGGATTTCTCCCCTTTGCAGCACCGCTGGTTCCCTCGCTGTCCCATCGCACTGGGCTCAGGCAAGGTTAACTGCAGTGCTAATTATACCAGTGCAGTTCCCACTGGTCCCTTCCAGTGTTACTGGAGTCCTCCTGCCCCAAGAGGTGTTGTTTAGGGTTTTCTAGGGCTTTGTTATCAGCTCTATTTTTATTCAAGGCAGGAATGGGCCTATTGCCCTGCATCTTAAAACAGCACTTGGGAACACGCTTGGAGGAGCTTCAATACCCATTGCAGTATCCCAGAGGAAAAATGGCCATTAAAAAGATGTTTGCCAGCAATGAGAATACAGCCTGAGCCACACAGTGCCCCAGAGCAGCACTTCTTAGGAGCCCATTACAAGCAGCATTTCTAACAAGAAGAGAATATCAGTCTGGAGGAGCACATGACTCATCCAGGGGGAACAGCCTGGGAAGAAGAAAAGATTTGCCAGTAACATTCCAGCCTGCCAGTCCTCTGGACAGAAAATAAACCATTTTTTGCCAAGCTTACCTTTTTAGTTCTTTATTGATACAGAATGAATTAGAAAAGCCGGTTGTTTCCCAAATATATAAGTGGACAAAAAATACAGAGGCTGAAGAAATAAGCCCAGACAGGACAAGAAAGAAGGTGCTCCCCAGCCCAGCTGATGCTCGAGGCCACTGCAGCTCCCTACCATATCGGTGCCTTCCTAAACAGCTGCTTCCAGGGGACTTTGGTCTGCTTGGGTATCGAGAGGCCTCTGGTTAAATAGTCTATGGGGATGATGAGTTCTGCAGGGAAGAAAACAGCCAAAGGAAAGCTCTGATCAGTGACTGTCTGTGCAGCTGGAGGCAGCCCTGGGACACTGCTATATAACTACCTCTAATCTCCTTGTTTTCTGGTCTTGTTTTTTTGGCTCTGCCACCACTGAGTGCTCAAGAAAACACCTTGTTACATTGACCAAAATTTTTCCGCTGCGTCCACATGTTTTCCCACTCAGCCACTTTCATCCCTTTGCATCCCTGGTAATAATTAAATGAAAATCCCATGGGCAGGGACCACATTTGAATTCTGAGCAGCACCAGACACACACTCAGTTCCTGATGAGCTCGGCTTCTACATGCCATGCTCACACTAATAATGCTGTAGCCAGGTGTCATGGTTTGTCCATATGCAGAATTACTCCCAGACAGTTATTTTGGAAGAGATATTCTGGATTAACTGGTTTTTAAAAGCTCTATGTGTAGATGCTCTTAGTTGTGAATAAGTATCTTGTCCTGCTTTAGCTTAATCCACTTTGAAGATCATGCTCTGTTTTGTGTTTTCACTGGTGCTTAAGAGTACTGAGGAGCCAGATCAGGGATGTAATCCAGCATGGGACTTGAAACAGGAAATCAGCGTTGAAAGAGCTCAAAATCTCATTTCTGAGTGGGGGGTCTTGGGTGAGACACAGCGTGAGTTACAGAAGACACCTGAGTAAAAGGTCTTTGTGCAAAACCAGGCATGATCTTGGAAACACAGAGGATTTGCAGAAAATAACAGAGAGGAATCACTCAGTTCCCAAAGCCTTGGGAGCACTGGCCACCCCAGGGATGCCTGGGATTTACCTTTCTCACTCAGAAGGTACTTGCAGGTGCAGTAAACCCAGAGCAAAGTGAGCAACCCGGAGAAGTAGAAAACACTTTCCCAGCCATACCAGTCCAGGAGGAGGGATCCTGCACCACCAATCACCAGCGTCCTGCAAGGGAAACCACTTGGATTTACTGGTCTGGCCAAGAGTGTCCAGACTGTGCACACTGATGAGAGATGCTCCCTGGGGTCAACGCTGACTGTCACTGAGCCACAGAATCACAGGATGGTTTGGGCTGGGAGGGACCTTAAAGATCATCTCATTGCACCTCCCTGCAATAGGCAGGGACACCTTCCACTAGACCAGGTTACTCCAAGCCCTGTCCAGTGTGGCCTTGGACACTTCCAGGGATGGGGCAGCCACAGCTTCTCTGGGCAACCTGTGCCAGGGCTCACCGCCCTCACAGGGAAGAATTTCTCACTCGCTGCATGTGGAGGTGCTGCCCACCTGCCCAGTCCCCCTGTGACTCCAAAACCTGCACTGTTCCCTGAGTGGCATCTCGGGCCAGATCCTCACTGGGCAGGAGAAACCCCAAAGGAGCCTCACCCTCACCTGCCCTACCCTGAAACATGGACATCAAGGAAAGAAAAGGAGGTTGCTGGTGTGCACTATCTCAGAGAATGCACAAAACAGCAAAAGAAATTAGCACACTGGAAAACTAAGTGATTAAACACAGTAATATTTCTATTTGGCTTATCCTCCTATTTAGAAAGGAAATTCTGATGGAGACCAGCAGAGAAGGGGCAGTTCTGTTCTCCCCACCTATCAGAGTGGACAGGTGACCAGTCTCAGGCTGACCCTTTGCTCTTCCTACTGAATCGGGCTGTTTCCCATAGTAATTAAATGTTGCAAACACTCTTCAAAGTCTGGTTTGAAAAGAAAGAGAAAACAATACATAAATCCTTGACAGGCACGACAGCAACTGCCTGAGGCTTCCTCAGCTGCAGCCGGTGTCCTTGAGGACCCGGGAATACACATGTACTTTAGGCTGTGAGTTTTGCCTCCAACTATTTAATGGCATTTCATCACATATGATGCCCAGAGACTGTCACTCGCTGCTCAAAGGCCTTTCAACTTACCCAAACTGTGAGCCAGTCCCCACTGTGCTGTAGGTGAAGGCTCGCTCGCTCTCCCGGACCCTCTGGGACAGCAGGCTGGCCAAGGATGGGAAATACACCCCTGAAAGCAACGGGAGCAAGGCAGGGAGCAGTCAGGATTATCAGCAAACAAAAGCAAATTTAGAAGATCCAGAAGGAGAACACTGAGATAAAGCAGCAAAACCTTCGGTGCATTCAAAACAGAGATATAAAAATAAACTAAGCGGAACCATCACCACGAAAGGTTTGTTTGTGCCTTCTCTGAAATCCCCCATTCCACCATCACTGCAACTGCTACCGTAAATCCATCAGTGTCAAGGCACCTCCTCAGTGCTGTACCTTGACAACAGGGAAGGAAAACCACCCCAAATTATCCAAAGGTTTTGGCAAGGGCTAATTTTTCCCAAGTACTTTGAAGGAGTTTGAAAATGCGGAAAATCAAAAAGCACCAGCGATGATTTCCAAAGCCAGCAGCCCCTGTCTGGCAGAGAGATTTCTACAGGGGAATGACTTGTCAGTGACTTTCTCTAGAAATGTCACCGTTTTCTCCCATGGAAGTGCTGGATGTGGAGGTAGCTTTGAGGCAGAGAATTGCTCAGAGACACTGGGGGAAGGGTTCATTCACTGCAAACCACAGGATTTGAATCTGAATGTGCTGCACACAAATCCCTGTGCAAAGAAGCCCCCGGGCACACACAGACACAGGACAGGGGTCTCACCTTGCAGCAACCCCATGAGGAACCGGGAGGAGGTCATAAAAACAAGATGGGCAGAAGTGATGTGGGTGAGCACCGGGGTGAGGACTGTGAGGAACCCCCAGGCTGATGCTGAGAGGAGGAGGACTTTCTCACCTCCTATTCTGGAAGACAGAAAACATGTTATCAAAGGTGGGAGGGCAAAAGGGCAAAGTGCTCCAGTCAAGACTCAAGTGCCCTTCCCAGTTTAGCCAGTTTTTACAAACAACTGTTGGGTCAAACCTGTTCTTCTCTTACATGTCTTTAGCCCTTGGCAAGGAGCTCTGATCTCCTCCCTTCTCTCCTCCTGCCAGCACTGCCTGTCCAACTCCAGCACACACTGATCCCAGAAACCCGACAGCACTGACACACTCGAGTCTCTGATGGTGATGGAGGAGAAGTGCTGCCACTATTCTGCTTCTCTTAACCAGTGACGGTGTTTTACATCTGCCCTTTTGCATCATTTCTGCCTTTTAACATTCAGGTTTTTGCTTGGAAACTATTCAGGACCATAACTAAATAGCACAGTGCAATGTACAAAGATAGACTGTGCAGATCAAATGGAAAAAAAGCTGCACTCACAGACTCCTAGAATCAATGGATGGTTTCAGTTGGAAGGGACTTCAAAGACCATCTCATCCCAACCCCTCTGCCATAGGCAGGTACTCCTTCCACTAGACCAGGTTGCTCCAAGCCCCATCCAACCTGGCCTTGAACTCTTCCAGGGATGAGGCATCCATGGCTTCTAATTAGACAGTCTGAACTACCCATGTCCCCTCTCAATCAGTGCTATAGACCCTGAGTGAGGCTGGCAGAGAAGCCTCAACCCCTTTCAGAGCAATCAGCACTGCCCCACAAAGCTTCTCCCCGTGGACATGCCTCACTTTTCCACCCCACCACTGCCCCAGGGTGAAACTTGGCACAACCATTGCTAAGTGCCTTCAAAAAACAGAGGAAAACACGAGAATAATTTCCAGTACTGATCACTGATGTGCCCTCCGATGATCTGTGTCAAGCAGTAGCCCCAGAAGAAGCTGCTGAGCACGACGCCGGACTCCTTCTTGTCCCAGTCGAAGTAGGAGCTGAGGGCGACGGCGCAGATGGGCACGGTGACACGGGCACAGTACAGCAGGCACGTCCCCAGCAGCAGCATCACTGTCCACACACGGGACTCGGGCCTGTGAGGGTGGAGAGGAGGATGGGGAAAGGGCAGGTGGGATGTTGTGCCTGGTAGGGCCACGCACAGAGAGGACTGGCGGGTCGGGTTGGTTTGCTCGCAAGCCACGACTGTCTTGGTAAATTGAAGGTCAGGGCAAACCCCCCTGTGGCACAAGGGCTCTGACACAGAGAGCATCCCACCTGGTGGCTTTTGGGAATGATGCTAACTTCAGCCCAAACAATATTTGACACCAGAAGCAAAATGTCTGTCCATAGGCTGTAAGGTGGAAGAGGCTGCCTGGACACCACTGGCTGTGGATGGAGGGAAAGGTGGGGAGGAACCTGGTTTGTTTGCTTTTTTTTCCCCAAGAAAGAAACTGTCCTTTAAAAGATAAGGGTAACAAAGGAAAGGTCAGGGACTGAAGTTGGAAGCATTTGCATGAGATACACCACCTTGATAACAAATATTTGTTATTTGGCATTCCTACCCAATTCCCAAGGGAGGTGGGGTGTGTGCTACCCTTCCTAAATAGGAAAGAAGTGGAGGAATTCTTTAGAGAGACACACATGATGGGGCTGAAGAGCTCATAGAGGGAGCAAAATAATTTAACCTGGCCTGATAAGAAATTTTAGGTAGTATGAGCCATAATATGTTAAAAGAATATGTTATTTGGTGCATGAGTACTCAGCCCCAAGAAAAGTGCTCCTGCAGGAGATACAGGCTGGAATGTAAGTGGGAAGGCAATTTCCTCCTGCTCCAAGTCAGTGATGTGCTTCTGGAGTAAAGAAATACATTTTGCTGCAAACATCAGGCCCAGGTGTAGGTGAATCCCTCTGCCTTCCCTCAGCCCAGCTTGTGTCACTCTGGGTCCCCCTTTGCCCATGAATTATGGAGTTAAAAACTTAGTAAGAACACACACCATGGGTATTATTTGTATTTGGTTATTTCTATGCCCAGAGGCCAGAGCACAAAGCACTGAGCAAACAGACTCTCTCTGCTCCAGAGAGGGAAGAGGAATTCACTGTACCAGGGCAGTAACCTCTGGGCTTTCCACCCTGCTAAACACACCCACCATCCGTGTGGGAAACAACCTGGGTCACCTTTTATAGCGAATGGAGCTTTTATTCCTCTGTACTGGAATTATGATAAATGTAGGTTAATCCCACACAGCTCAAACCCATTTATAAAGGTGTCAAACGGGCCGTCACGGGGGGAGGCGAAAGGAACAATGAAAAGCAGAACACGGCGGGCAGGTGAACCCGCTGGAGGTGGATTTATTGCTGTTTCCTGACAAGGCTGATAAGCAGCTCAGTGCCAACCTCTGGCAGGAGGGACTGCAAGGGTTTCAGCTGGTGTTCTGAAGGCTGGAACCATCGTTGCTGTGCACGCACATGAGGGCACAAAATAACACAGGAACTGGAAAACCTCACGCGTTTCTGCTGGAGGAATAAGTAACCAGGGGTTGACCTGCTTCTGCCACTTGAACAGGCTGATAAATGCTCTCAGAGTCCCTCCTGGGCTTACCCTGAGAGGGAGATATCTTCACTCATATCTTCATTTGCTGCAAAACCAAAGGTGATCTGGGTTTTGATAACCTGCCCCAGCCAGCTCCAGGAGCAGTGGCTCCACTAACTCCTGCTTGCTACAAAAAAGCCACAGGGAAGCCAAAGGCTCCTGGACACCGTGTCCAGGTCAGACCAAACTCAGCAGGACAATATGGGCAGGAGGTTTTGGGTATAAATCCCTCGTCAGAGGCAGAGGGCAGGTGTGGGATCACCAGCCATGGAAAATGTTATGGAGAGCCCTCAGGGATGAGATGCTTGCAGGTACAAGCAACAGACTCGTGCCTGCCCTGCCCAAATGGGCTGCTGCCAGTGCAGGGCCATAATCTCTCCTGTTATCTCCAGTGGCACAGCACTGATAAATTTGAGCTATTGAACCTGCAACAACCGAGGTGACAGAGCAAAGCGCAGCAGCCAGTGATGTGTGGAGGTATTTTCTATTATTAAGGCACCAAGACAGTTTTCTAAACTGAGCTTTTCCCCTGCAGCAGAGAGAGACCTTTATGAGCTTTCACTGGAGTGGGGCTGAGCTCTGCCTCTCCAGTCACTCTGGTGTGTTCAGAATAAACCCCAGTTATCCTGGCAAGCACAGCAGCATTTTAATGGGATATCAGATCAACAGTTCTTCCTTGTCCCCAAACTCTGTACGGCTGTGCAAGTTGTAAGTTTGACCTGAGCAGCTCAGCTACCCTCCACTCCACTTCTCTTTATAGTAATGCCACAGTCTGTTCCCTCCAGAGGGTGTTTGCAGATGGGAAAAGCAAAACCCACACACAGCAAAGTCGGTGCCCCGGGAAAGGGTAGGATAGGGGAGCACAGTTTGGTCCTAAGGGATTGAACCCCAAAAGAGATGAGCAGGGCAGCTCTGGCTTCAGGGCAGAGGGACAGGAGGGCATGCTGTGAGGTTGCAGCTTCCAAGTAGAGATGTGCTCCCAAGAAGCTTCCTCTCTAGCTGATGTTTTGATAGAACTCCAGAGAATATTTTTCTCTTGACTTTTATTCTTTCTCCGAAGCACTAAGTCAGTCTCTGGGCATATGACACAATCTCAGTGTTCTCTTTGGCTACTACTCCATTCTATATTCTTTTTCTGTATGTTTAAATGCATCAGTAGAGGCATGCTCAAATCAAGTGGGAACTATAACAACATCTTCAGACTACCACTTCCTCCATAGGTAGCATATCCAGCTAGGAAAATCCACGGAAATAATGAGAGTGTCAAATGTAATCAGTAGCTGCCCACACCCACCTGAAAGCATGGCAGGAATGATTTCTCTGTAAGGACAATGACATGCTTGCATCAGAGGAAGGAGCTTTGTAAATACGTTTTCTCCTAATTATAGTTATCACAGAGGCTGCCGATGAGTCAACGCTCTGCTCAGTGCAAAACAACAACAGCAAAGGTTACAGGAGGAACCTGGACTAGCACAAAGGGAGGAATTAAAACTCTCCTTCAAAAACTAAGGAATAATGACAAATGAAACAAAAGTTTTGGTGGGTGACACCAGCCATCTGAGAAGGAGAGCTTCACCAGTGTTAACAAATTAAATTTGATGGGTCCCCTGATGAGGGAGGGAGAGAGAAACTGTGCTGGAAACAACTACCCTGAGTCAGAGCAAAGCACATCTGAATCTATGGCAGTCACAGCCACTGCTGTCCTGTCTCACCAGCCACAGGGACAGACTGAGCACCTCCCCACAGCCCTGTGCCAGTCCTGGCCAAGCCCTGGCTACATGTGACAGACACCTCGTGAGAGGGGCCAGCCCTCCAGACCATCAGCAGGTGAATCACTGGAGCGTGTCTGGAGCCACCTAACTGACTTCACTGGGTGCTGTGTGACAGCAGCAGCTCCTCACTGCCCAGTCTGTGCCCTCCTGGCCTGTCATCCCCTTCTGCTCACAAGAGACAGGCACTGCAGGTGCATCCCCTTCTCACCTCACCCAGACCCTCTTCACTGAGCAAAGCAGCGACACAGCCAGAACACACTTCCTATTTCACGAACCTCCACCCACCACCCAGACAGACTACAATTAGCTCCAGCCCTAATGACTCTTCCTGGGGGCCCTGCCTGATGTTCCTTGGTTCTCTTCCTCCAAATGCAGCCCCAGGCACTGAGTGGTCATGGCTCTGCTTCGAAATATCCACTGATTTCCCTGGGACCCAGCTCCTACCAGTCTAATGGATCCCCTGCCCAGGACAGGGCGGTTAGGGTGGATTTTCAAGGATGCCTGAGATTCCCAGAGGGACAAAACCAAGCCGAGCCATCCGGCAGTGGAAGGAGAGCCAGCAGCACAGGCTATCTTTATTTGCAGTGTGTTTTCCTGCTGGAGGAATTTCTCCAGTAGATGCCACAGAACAAATATTTATTCAACTTTATTTCTCTTGACTCGCCTCCCTCCTTTCCCCCAGTGTGCAGGGCTGTTGGCAGACACTGCAGGTCACTGTTGAGGTGGACTTGCTGGAGCTCAGGCAATCAATTAGATCACAGTTTAGCCCCCTCCAAGGCACGAGTCTGGACCGCTGGGTATTTTCAGGTGGTAAGAGAGCTGTGTTAGACAGCAAGACTACGAACGGTCTGTCCCAGCAACAGCTCTTGGCCAGAAGCCATCTCCAGTGTTTGTGGGCTTTTTCCATAACTGGAAGAAGAATTGGGAGCTGCAGCTCCTGATCTGCATCAGATGGGCACAGGTATTGGCAGCAGAGCATTAACACCCACCTCCCAGGGAGGGCATCTCTACCTCTGAAAAGAGATACAAATAGCTCTGTTGGAGATGCATGGCAAGTACATCACTGGAGTCACCTCCACTGCCCCCAGCCCTCTTGCCCATCCCTGCCACCACTCACCAGACCCTGCAAGAACCCCAGAGCAGGATGGGGATGAGCTCCCAGCCACGTCACCAGCTCCAAACCCAGGACACCCAGCAGCCCAAGCATGAGGCCACCTCCAGGAAAATGTCCCCAGGACACCCAGCCAGTGCCTGTGGGTTCCCCTGTGCCTGGTCACCTGTCACACCACAGCATGGGAACACTTCCCTCCTCATCAGCCATTTCCAGCTCCATGAGATCTTCACCCTTCAAAAACCTTTTCTCCAGCTTACCTGCCTATGGCTTTAATTTACAATGACCTCCAACACAACCAGGACTGACTGACATGGCACAAACACAGGAGCAGCCCTGCACACTCCTGTGTGATAATACCCAGGTAGTCATTTTTAACCCAGTTTGACAGTCCTCTCACTCTGTTTTTCTCAACAGCAATTTCTCCTTCCCCTGAAAATCTAACATGCTTGTCAGGAGAGAGGTTTCCCCCCCTCCTCGAGTTTATTTTGTCATGCTGCAGACTGGCTCCAAGCTAATGATTTGTCGCTGTCAAAAGTAGCTTTGGGGTTTAGAGGAGGTTTGGTTGTTGGTTTGGGTTTTTTTTTTCCCCAATCCAGCCAGCAGCCAACAAGAGCAGCACAGAGGACACAGGGCTTTTTTTCCTGGGAAAGCTGCTGGCTTCCTGTCCGCCTCCTGTGCTCAAGCTCCCTCCTCAGAGCCACAGATGGCAACAAAGTGGTGTTCAGCAAGAGAGCTCTGGGTTTATTCCCTCTCTTCGTTTCTTGCTTTCAGCAAAAGCAAAGATGAAATTAGATTTCATCAGCTCATATGAGCTGGAAATAGTTGTTGAGTCCAGGTGGAGGTGGTGAGAAAACATAATAATAAAGCACAGGCGTGCTTTGCACACTGATCTGAGGACGTACATGGATCAGCCAGGAATGAAATGCGTGTCCTGCTTACATTTTCCACGTGAAAAAAGTTCTCAGCAAGGTCAAGATTAAAACCAGGGGGAGGAACTTGTACAATAAAAATCCTAACCACCAAAAAAACCCCCGATCAGCTAAAGCTGCAACATCATGTTGACAAAAGATCAGAGCAGAGAACTCAGAAAAAAAACAACGTGACCGTTGTCTCTGGGCAAAGAGCAGGTCAGGCGACTGGAGATCAGCCTGTGGCCGATGGTAAGACTCCTTTTATCTCTGGAGCTTAAAGAAACTGCTATAATCACCCCTTGTCTTCAGGTGTAGCCAGAGGCTGGGAGATGGAGAGTGGTTTCAGGAGTCATTTGCTTCCCAGGACACAGTGACTTTTCCATGTTGTGTTTCTCTCCTGGAGGCACCATCCAAAATGTGAGCCCCCACGTCCAATGCTGGATCTGCTCGTGCCTTTGTGCTCAACCTTCAGCAATTGATTTCTCTTCTCACTGCTTCGATCCTTCCCCCAGTTAAACCAGAGATGCTTTAAGCACATCCACTGCCTGAGTGGTCCTGCTTTGGCATGTTAAGATCAGCATTAAAAAGCACTCTCTGACTGTCCAGATGTGCTACATCAGCACGAGGGCTTTTTCAAGCCCCAAACAAAAATCCCCAAGTGTTGTTCTTAGAAGAGGAGATGTGTGATAGAGGAGCCATTGGAGACCTGCAGAAAATTTGGGGAAAGGCAGGATAAAAGATAGGGCAAGAATAGTGGAAGAGGAAGGAAAAGCCATCTGAAAAAAAGGGAGGACAAAAGAAGCAGCAGCATGAACAAAGACGGAAAAAGAAACCTGCCAAGATAAGAGTTTATCTCTCCTTGCACTGATGGTGGGGACTGATCTTGGAAGGCTGCCTGGCATGCCTTTTGTTGGAGCATGAAAGGAGAACCTGTGTCACTTCCCCCACTTATTAACACCTTGCCTCCATGGAAATAACTCACTACTTGGGAATTATGAAAGCTATTTATTTGCACATACTGTTGCAAAACTGTCCACCAAACCACCCAGTGAGGTTCTTTAGAGAACTCAAGCAACCTGCTCCAGTGATCTGATGCTCCCCCTGTCCCACACTCCACCTGCCCAGTTTACTTAGGCAATAAAACCTCCATAAAACCCCCCCAAATAAGGGCTGTGACTGCATTGTGTCCACACCAAACAATGGGGACATGATCTCAGCTTCTGTGAATTATAGCAATATAGATAATGATCTGAAAGGCTTTAGGGATGTCCTGCTGCTCCTCCCCATTAACAGGCTTTCACAGTTACCAGCAGCACTTAAGATGGTGGGAATCACTTAAAATAGGTATATCTTAATCAACAGGCTGTCTTCATCACAGTCCGTTTTGTTTTGGAAAGTGTTATCGATGGTTTGAATTTTTTGAAGAGATTTGGAGGGCTTATTCTGGTCAAATATATCAATTTTTTTTTTTCTAGAAGAAAAACATATAAATTCAAGAATTGCTTCATGAAAATCTGATGTGGGGTCCCCCTACCACCACTCCCACTTCACACAGACTTCAGGAAAAGTTAGCAAGGGGGATACAGAGAGAAGGAATTTTCTTAAGTGCTTTAGGGGGAAAGAATCTTCAAATTTTAAGCACTCCTAGTGCCAAAGGCCTTCTTTGGGACCCACCTGCTTACTCTTGAGATGAGTGTGGGTTTGATTAGACTTCCCGATCTCTGACTGCAGGAAAAGTTTCCCTCAGGACAGGAATTTAAAACTGGCTATGGACCTGCTGCCACTGCAGGAAGCAATTGACAATAAATACCAATTTATCCAATGGCTAATTGCAGCTGGAAGGGGCAATTCTTCCCTTTGGCCACTTGTTCCCTGCACTGGCACCTCTGTCACCTGCCCTGTGGCTGCCCCTCTGCTCTCCTGCCAAGGTGAGTTCACCACGGGTTCACATCAGCCCGGAGGGGGAAAGGGGAGCCCCAGGGGTGGCCACCACGGTGGCAGTTCCTCTTCGTGGCAATGTTAAACTGAGCCAGATTTCAAAAGCTTAAAGACTTCCAGGTTGGAAAACTCTCTGACCATCATTTTCAGCTGCCCCACTGGTACTTTGGAATCATCATCTCATCCCACCTTCGATGGGAGAAGGGGCAGATCCTGAGATCGAGGTGCTGCTTGACATCCCCAGGGTGACAGAGAGGAGCAGCCCTGTCCCAAGTGTCCCAGTTTTTGCTCCAAACACTGGAGCACTCTGCATTTGTCCGTGTCCCTGCTGTTAAAAGTGGTCAGTTTGGGCTTAATCGTATTTTGAAGTATTCCAGTTATTTAACTTAAGGAGCAGTTCATGCTGTCTAGCTGCTGCCAGCTACTATTCCAGACTTTATCTTAATGAATGAATATCGCCAGTACAAACATCCCCGCTGGAACACTTCGATAAGAACTTGACAGCGGTTTCGCGTTTAATTCCCTGACAACAGGCCAGAAATGAACTCAACAGATGTTTTTCCCCCGTGTTCCGCAGCAATTCCCTATCTTCCCCCTTCCTTCTACCGTCTCCGTTGGGGTCCGGCGCAGTGAGACAGCGGGTGGGATCGTGTCCCCCGACCCCGCAGCACCCCCGGGAGGCAGAGCCGGGGCCGGGGAGAGGGTCTCGGCCCGACGGGGAGCACCGAAACCCCCGCTCCGGGAGCGGCTCAGGCCGCCCGGCCCCTTCCAGCCAGGAACCGCATCTTTCCCAGGAGCTGCGGGAGGAGGGCACGGAAGATGCGGGAGATCCCGGGGCCGGGAGGGACAGCGGCCGGCGGGATGCGGGGAGAGCCCCGCAAAGCAGGGAGAGCGGCTTTCCCGGGAGCGGCTCCAGCCTTACCTGGACCAGTACGGGTCTCCATCGCGCCTCATGCCGTCGTGGGGGCCGCGCTCGGCGGTGCCCACGGGCACATTCCTGCCGCCGCCGCCGCCCCCCGCGGCCATGCGGGCAGCGCCTTCCGCCTCCCCGGCTCACATCGCCGTTCGTCCGGGCTCCCTCCCCCGCCGGGCCGGCCACGTGTCAGCGCCTCCCGCCGCCCCCGCCCGCCGCTCGTTCCGGGAAGTCCCGCGCCAGCTCCAGTTCCTATCCCGGGGCAGCCTCGGACCCGCAGGGCTCGGCCCGGGGCAGGCGATGTTCGGCCCCTCCGGCCCCCACAGACCGCTGCGATCTGCTCCTTTCCTCCCCCTCCGGTAATTACTGACACCCCCGTGGAGGGCAGGGAGAGAGGGGACTGAGCAGGGTGGGTCCTGCCCCTCCGATACCTGGGAGGGGAGTCCGCTCCCTGCTCCCGCGGGTCTGCCGGCAGAAAACTCTCTGCTTTTTAAAGGATTGGAACAGAATATTATGATATTCCCATCCGAAGAATTAGAGGAAAAATTAAACAGGGGTAAGTATTCTTACAGCTTGATCTATCTCTGTTGGATAGAGGTGCTGCTTGTTGTAAGTATCTGAAAGAGATAACCAGACTCCTTTATGGACATAAATAATTAAAATGATGGCTATCTCAATCCAAAACAAAAAGACTCGTGACTCATTTCAAGAACATGAAGGAGAAGGCGGAGGAGCCTTGTTAAGACATCGTTCAGGCGGTGCTGTGGCCGATAGCAGCCTGGATGCAGGCACGGCAGAACTTCAGCTCTGCAGAGGATGGAGGAGCTCCTGCACAGCCTGAGCAAGGTCGTGCGTGGCCCTTGGGAAAGGTACTTGATCTCCTGGGCTGCACCAAAACGCTCAATTGCAGGGCAGCCACCTCCTGTCTACCGCTCCTGCTGCCAGCAACCTCTAAATGCTTGTTCTTAAGCCTTTAGCAGACTAATATTAAGGTAGCTCACACATTCTTCTCCCAGCGTGAACATTTGGCAGGTCCCTGGTGAGCACTCTGCTATTTAAGTCATGAGAGAGAACAGTATTATTGAGCTGAACCTTTGAGAGTGAAATAGCAAAAGGGTTTCTTACACCAGAGGCAGCTCCAGGAGAAGGAGCAAAAATCATTAAAAGTCATACTTTATCCTTTGCTTTGGTATTTCTTACTCAGAAGAAAGAGGTCTATCCCAAAGGCCTGTGGCAGGCACACAGACCTGCTGCCAACAGAGAAAACAAATAAAACGAGCTTTTACTGAGGGGAACTACGTGTAGTAACCACAGTTTTATCTTCATCTAGTCCTAGGCTTCCCTCCCTTTATTTGGGCAGGAAACGAAACTATGAAGTATTTTTATTCACTCTGCTACTGTGCCCGTTTCCAGAAGAGGGAGCCAAGTCATGGTAAATTGCACCCAAACATGCAAATCCTTATTCAATCTGTTACTGGGTTTTTTGTGTTTGTTTTTTTTTTAAATTGTGTGTATGTTTGGAGTTCATTAATTCGAGGAAGGAGGGGAGGTGAGCGCTGATGTAACTACAGGAGTGAAATGCATGTAATAAGCTCAGAAAAGGACTGAAAAGGTCTTGGGCACGGTAAAATAATGACAAATACTAAAAACTTATTATCTCATACCCAGGTATGAGTTATACTGTGTTCAGTCTCACAGCTGTGGGGTGCAAACATCTCCAACACTGACACTGCAACACTGAATCATAATTTTAGTGAGTGAGTAGCCAAGTTTTTTCTTTGTGTACTCTTTGGTTTCTCTCCTTGTACTGCTCAGTGTCACCTCTTCAATTAGGAGCTTGACTAATTTGCCTCCCAAATCAGAAGCTACTTTTACTGTCAAAACCAGCTGCAGCTGAAAGAAGTGTTTGAGTGTAACATCCATCAAATGCACGTAAATAAGTTTAAAAAGTAAAAACAGACATAATTCCTTTTACTGCTGTATGATTTGCTGGAAGCAAACATCCCCCCGAGCTGATTAAATGGCAAATGGAATCAGCTCAGAAGACAGGTGCTGACTACAGAAAATAAAAATAATCTTACACAAGAACATAATCTCCTCTCGTTTTTCCTGCGTTCAGCTTAATCTGTCAAAAGATTAAACCAAACAAAAGATTATTGGGTTAATATTTGACCTGACATTTACTATCACTGTAGTTTATCCACACAATGGTTGAATTATTTGAAGATTTTATGAAGTCAAGCACAGATCAAGAGCAAATCCTGAAGGGGTGTGAAAGGAGCTCACATGTTCCCTAAAGGACAGTTGTTGTCTCCTGAAAGGACAGGCTGGCTGCAGCTTGAAAGCTCCCTGCTAACCCAGAGCACTCTCAAGCAAATTGTCCACAGAATAAAGAAACCATATGTGGGTTTCTACTACTAAATAATCCAACTTTGCAGAATTGCTAGACAACAATACACTGAAAAATAAGAATATTCATTCACCCACGGGGCCTGTAAGTAGCAGGATAGTGTTTGAATCCCCATGTAACATGAAAAGCACAACGCTGGCTTTCTCATTCAAGGTGCCTGAACGCATCAACACACAGCCCACCAGTAGTTTGACCACCCTCATCCTTAATTTTACTGTAAAAAGTCAGGAGGGGGGCAGAAAGGAATGAAAATAGTTTGTAGCACCTCGAGGTGTCCACGGGGAAGTACAAATTGTTTTGAGGGTGCTGCTCGTGAGCTTTGTGTTCTGTCTGCGCTCAGCTGAGTACACAAAGCAACGAGAGGAGGAACAGGGCTGGGGACACCACAGTGAAAAAACCCTCCCAGTCCCATTTCATTAAGGACATTATAGCACAAACAATTACTGACGCCGACACGGCTTCTGAGGGCAGGGAGACCTACAGTGCAGGTCAGAACCTGTAGCCTAGAGGCAGATGGAGGGCAAAATCTGACTCCATCCCCTTTCCTGTGCTGGATGTGAAGGATGCTCTCAGCCGTGGCTGACAGCAGCAGCCCCGATATCCGAAGACACGACACACAGGGATCACGCTCCAACTCCGTTTAATGAGCTTCGTAACCAACTTGGACAGAAGGAGGTTTGAAATAAGTCAAACAACACTCATCTAGTCGAGGATTTTTTTTTTTTTTTAAGTAATGCCTTTAAGCTTATACTCAAGCATACAAAGCATAAATTTTACAAATTAAAAACAATAAAATCACCCTAGAATAATGTAATGGCTTCCCCTGTATGTACAAGGAGCGGAAAGGAGGCAGAATTCTTTCCAGGTAATTTCACACATCTCAAATGCTACATAAATGCTCTCCACGTGCTTTGCAATTTTTCTTTCAGTGTGGGTGGAAGGAGCTGAAAGTGTTTCAATGAAATCATCTTAAAGAGAGAGAGAAGTACTTCACCTGGCTTCAAGGTGTATATTTGCCTCTTCAAAAGTCTTGAGAGGAAATGCTTTACTCAGAATTCTGCTGTTAGTTTCTGTGCAGCAGCCTCTGCTTTTCCAGCAATATAAAATTAAGCAGTTCAGTATTTCTCAAAGTCCCACCAGCACTTCATCTTCAGGGAAGCCTGTGATCCCCCACCCTTCACAAATCCCTCCATTGTACAACAGAAGCAACCACAGCTCAGCTTAGATTTGACAGGCAGAAACAAAACACGGGAACAGCAAAGACAGTTACCAGGGAGGTGATGGCTTTGGGAAAAGGAGGGAGATTTGTAGCCTAATCAAAACACACTTGCTATGCAGCCTTTCTGCAGAGGCATATGACAGGATATTTTACAACCCAACTGCTTCACATACAAAGCATTAATGAAAAAAACCTTATTTGCTTTCACCAAAGGCAAGGCTGGGGGGAGGATGAGTGAGTGCACCACCCTTAATGACCAGATCTGTCTGCCACCGTTGAGTTTGGAACAAATCTTCTTACAAAAGTGATTTTCATATTGTTCTGAATTCAGTGGAACAAAATATGTATTTTTACACTAAAGAAAACTGATCAAAGTGGCATTTAATAATATTTGTTAAAGTGGTTATCTAACAAAAATGGGTTAACAAAAGCCCATTCATTAGTAGTCACCAAATAAGACACTTCTCATGCATATGACAAAAGTTCATTCGTGTACTGACATCTGTTTACTGTGTACAATATTTCCATAAATTATAATATGTTTCACAGCCCCTACCATTCAAGAATATTTCAAACAGATTATATATTATATTTGTATATGCAAACTATTTTATATACACTAATATAAAGATCCTTAGAAGTACCAATATCACTACCTTTATGCTTTCTCTAAAATGCATAGCTTTCGAATATCTTCTTGCAGTTACCAAAAACTTTACAGATTAAAGCTGCTTATCAATGTGGCATGTTCATAAAAACAAAGTGAAATACTTCTAGACTAATTTTATATTAAACCCCCTTAAAAAACGTGTTTATTTTTTAATGGAAAAAAACCAACAAGCTAGTGAAAATTCAAGTAAATCTACGCTCAGTCGCTGCCCAAATACTCTATGGAATTAACTTAGCGTTCTAGGAGTACAGTGAACTTCTCACCCAGGGCTGTAATACTGCATTTCTCATGGAGAAAAATGCTAGTCATGCCACAAAACCGCACCACTTTCCACTTCACCCGGGAGAAGCTTGACATGAGACTTGACAACACAAAAGTGTCAGAAGAGAGGAAAAACTGATCAGTTCTACGTGAAGGAATTAGAGCTATTCCAGTTTTGCTTCTGCAGTTTGTTATTAAACAAAGTTACATTAACCATACAGTTTCTCACAAACTAAAAGTTATACATGGTTTTCAGACATCAACCGACTTCAAAAAGAAAAAAAAATTAAAAATAAAAAACCAAAACAACCAAACCCGCAACTGTTAAAAGTTCGGTGTTAGAATAACCAGCCTGGGTGAAGGAAAGCCAGGCTGCTGCTGTAGTTGGGGGGCTACTGATAGATTGTTTGTTACATATAAACTTTAAGACCTCCATACTACAAATACCTCAAAGTGGAGAACAGAACGATCAGTAAGAAATGGGAACAAACGATTTCGTTGCATCCATCATCTTGCTTAACCTTGGTGCTCTGCGTCTCTCATAGCTGCTTAACAAACAACGGCTTCCCCCCCACCAAAAATAGCTACACAAGTAAACAGTGTTCACAGTAATGCAATCAGTAA